TTTCCCGAGAGGTTCATAAAGTTTTTTACGGTATAAATAATCTTCGATCTGCATTTTCCAAAACTCGAAATCTGCACCATTGAATTTTTCGAGTCTTACCTTTCCTTCGTCTGCAGCCATTGCTCCCACTCAAATCCAACTTCTTAGGATCGTTTCTCACCGATTTTTATCTGAATGTCAACAGAATATCAACTAAGTTGTTAAGAAATATTATGCAAATTTCCTTTACAATTAAATTAGTGGGGAAAAAATATATATATAATTCAAATAAATGAACAATATTTGTATCTCTAATTATACTGCAAAACTTTTAAAAAAAAAATAAATAATACACAAGTGTTCAGAACACTTATTACAACTCACAACCATACCCAACTCGAGAACTTTCTCTAAAAATTCTCTTAAAGCTTCTCGTTCTCTTGTATGTTTTCTTTTGGGATGATTTTAAATGAAAAACAAAACATTAATGTATAAAGGCTTACAGAAACAATGCTACCCACCTATTATATAGCAAATGCATGAACCATTAATTTAATTTAGTAACACTAAATTAATACTCCTTTATCCTCAACCTTTCACATTTTTAGCATGCTAAATAAAGGCTTATATCTCAACATACCTTATACTGGTGTTGCTGGTAGTTTAATGTACGCTGTGGTGTGTACATGTCCAGCCACGAGCTGTGAGTGTTACCATTACGCTCATGGAGAACCTAGGTAAAGCACATTGGAAAGCATTGAAATGGATTTTACAGTACATAAAAGGTACCATTGACAATTTGACACATGTTTATGCTTTGGCGGAGATACATGTCAAATAAGCGGCTTTGTTGACTTGGACTACGCTGGTGATTTATATAGAAGATTTGTTACTAGTTATGTGTTTAAAATAAATGGTGCTCTAGTTAGTTGTGATCAATGTTACGGGCTATAGTGGCTCTATTTACGAAAAAAGTTGAGTACAGAAGGAGTTGAAAATTGTGGGGACTTATAGATTATTTGGGGTTGAAACAATATAGTGTGAATCTAAATTGTGATAGCCAATGGGCTATTCACTTGGCAAAGAACTAGGTTCATCATGTTTGTACCAAACATTTAGATGTAAGGTATCATTTTGTACGAAATTTCATAGAGAAAGGAAGTATTTCTCTTGTGAAAGTGCATACAAATGAGAACCCTTGCAGACATGTTAACAAAAGTTGTGTCAGGAAGCAAGTCTGTCTCATGTTAGGTATTAACATAGTAAAATAAGTGGAACTATGTTTGGTTTGATTTAGGCCAAGGCTACGTAGGCCATCATTATCAAAATGGTGCAACCGGATACAAATATCTAAAATTCGTTTGTCCAAAATTTGAATGTTTTTAAAATTATTTTGAATGAGGTGGAGAATTCTGGGAGCATATGACTATATTGGCTATAATAGACCATATAATTTGTTTCTCTAAAAATTGAGAGATATTCTAGGAGAGGAAAATGGGTATGATATCAAAATGAAACGAGTATATTTTGCAAACATGTTACGTTGTTTGTTTAGTTAAATAGTTTCAGTCATTCTTGTTATTATATATAATGCTTAGGTTGTAATGTTGATAAATAACTCAAACATTATTCATGTCATAAAAGGTTTAGTTTAAGAAAGCTTACTTTCTTACATTTATTATTTCCTTCATAGGGGTTGTTTGTTTATCCCAAAATATTATTATTTGTGAGGTATTGTTTTCATTTTATCTAGTACGAGTAGAAGCCATATTTCCGCTGTGAGAACTCTTAAAAAATTATTAAAGCTCGCAACAGAAATGCGACTTCTACTAGATAAAATGTATTGATAATTCACAAATAATATAACATTTTGGAATTAAACGTACAACTACTATGAAGTAAATAAATAAATTATATCAGAAAACAAATTTTTCTTAAATTATATCCGATCATTAATGTGAATTTATGAATTGATTGCAAATTTTACCGTAAGGCATTTATATAATTAATTACATGCTAAATAAAGAACAATAAATATTTACCCCTAATCTAAAACCAATTGGAAAAATTGTTCGGAATAATCTGAACTTTGCCTCATCCGCCCAAAATAATCCCACCTTTTTTTTTAAGGTCAATCCGCTTCCAAATGGTCTCAAGTGACCGGTTGAGTAGGTAAATTGTTTTTATTAAGTTTAATTTACACGTGTCACAATGTCTCCACATGATTGGTTAAAAAATAAGTTTAATTTTAAATTTGTTTTAAGAAATGATGATTAGTAATTAACTATTTTTAACTTTAAAAAAAAAAAAAAAAAAAAAAAACTAAAAATTAAAACTAGGCCCCAGCCACCTCCTTGCCCCGGCCCAGGCGAGGCCTAGAACCACCAGCCTCGACCAAACCCAGGTCCTCCTACCCGTTGTGTCGCCATTAAATCAACCGAAATCAAGGTGTGGGAAGGGGAGAGGAGCCAAAATTGAGGTGTGGGAAGGGGATGGGGGCCAAAATCAGGGTATGGGGAAGGGAGGGGGTGTCGGTCATGGCGTCAAAGGGATTGAGGGTCTTGGTGGCCGGAGCCGCAGGGAGGTAACTTGTTGGTGGCTTGGCAGCTGGTGGGGTGGTTTTGTAAACATTAATTTTTTATTTTTATTTTCTTTAAAAATATTAACTTTTTAAAAAAATTTATTATTATTTTATTATTATTATTATTATTTTTTACCAATAACAGGCCGCCATGGACCATTTTTCGCTGATTGACATTAAAGGTGAGATTATTAAAAAATAATTGAAAGGTGGGATTATCTTGGGTGTGTGAGGCAAAGGTCAAATTATTCTAGGCAGTTTTTCCAAACCAATTATGTGTATTGTTTCATTCACAAATGTTTCCTACTTTTGCTGCTTTCAAAATAGAAAAATGGCAAATAACATTTTCACATTTTTCTCCTTTTCTCACATTGTGTAAAAACCTTTTATAATTTTTCTGATTGTACTTGTACAATGTTTCACAAAACAATCCATCTTGACAAGGTCTCTCTTATGTCTACACGCTCCAAATCTGACTTTTACATGCTTCCTCCTGTATAATTTTGTTGTATAATTTTGCTGCATTGCTACCAAGTGCAGCTTTACATGAACCCTATGATAATCGCCTCTCGTGATGATCCCCATTGCACTTGATTTCTCATCGTCTCTTGTGTTTGCCTTTATAGAATTGCTCTTTGCTTATGACCACCAACACTGCATACTCTTTCATTCTACAAGAGCCACATCCTTAAAACTCAATGATCAATAATTCAACCTCCATCTTCCCTCTGATGACCTAACACAATGAACTTTTGCGGTTTTCCCCATCATTATGCCCATAAGAATCAGTTGCAAGAACACTAATAATTAGTTCCTGCTCTCTTATTGACTAGGGGTGAGCATAGCAGGATACCCTGCTACAATTTCTGGAATCAGAATCGAAACTTGTTGCAATAGGTTCCACAAAATGAGAACAGGAACCTGATGTTGAACAGGTACCTAGAAAATGAGAACGTTTTGGTTCCGATATATGGTACCCTATCTGTTAATACTTTTCGTACTTTTTTGCAAAATTATTTCAAAAAAAAAAAAAAGAGGTTCATAAATTTACAACTCTTACAACTTGCAAATGCTACAAACCAAATATAGTTGTTTAGCAAATTTAATACTTTTTTTGTATGACCAATATATTTATTTTCTAGTTTTAAAAATTGGGCTTAAATTGATGAAAGATATAGGTTTAAGTGATACTTTTATATAGGGTGCTCTGGAACTTGTTGCAACCTGGAAACTGAACCTCTTGTACAGCGGTTCCTAACAGGCTAACGTTGGCTATTGTTGTCTGTTATTCTTCAAGCTCTGAAGTGCGGCTGCTGTTTAAAGATTGGTCTTCTGCCGTTACACAATTAATCCATCTGTTTCAATACAAAATAAAGTCAAGCTTTATAACCAGTAGTTGGGGTGCTAATGACCTGCATCTTATTCTTCATCTAGGATCTCCTTGAAAATATATAAACACAAACATGGTTTAAGAAAGCTCCATTTACTTCCATTCTTACTTCATCTTCTGGAGAAATGCTCCCTTCTTGCCATCATCAAACTCCCAAGGAAACTGCAAAATTTCAGAGCATGAAGGTGATGAGACCTTAAGAGAAGAGAGTCAAATCCATGAGCTCTTTATTGCTTCGGTTACTTTGTTCAGTTTGTTGTAAGAATCAACAATACTGAACATTTAAATGCAAGGAAATCAAGTTATTATGGAATGACTCGAATATTTCATCTTCTACTTATAGCATTCAGCTCTTTTGGAATATACTCCCTGGGTTTTTTAAGGCAATGAACTTGTTTTGGCCATTGTCAATGCAAACAAGAAAAAGAACAGCCTCCTTTATTATTTTTCTTGTCAACTGTTTTGAATTTGTGGATATTGTCATATTGATGGTACAGAAGCATTAATGCCTTGATGGTGCTATGAAAGACCCATCCATCAATTATATGCTTCTCTTACTATAAAGGAAAAAGTATGGTCTCTTTTATAATCTGATACTTTCGTACAAATAATATTTGTTAATGAGGTGCTTAGGGAGGTGAGTTGGTGATTAGAGCAGTAATACCTGTAGGTGGAGTATCCTTTTCCCTCTGACCCTTTTCTTCTGTTTGTCGGCCACCCTCTTCCCCAAATAATTTTTTTTTTTTTTTTTTTTTTTTTTTTTTTTTTTTTTTTTTTGTGGGGGTGGGGGTGGGGGGGGGGGGGTAAGTTTGGATTGTCAAGTTCTCTCCTTTGTGTATGCTCTTGTAATCACTGAACCAGCAACCAACATGATATGCTAGTTGTGTGAACACTAATAAGTACTATATGACAATCTTTTTGTCCTGTATTATCTTGCACACTTATTTTCTATCGGTTGTCTAAAAATGAATGCACTCATTACCTTTTAAAGTAAACTCTGTTATGTTTTTTATTTCTATCTAACTACACAGTTTTCTTCAACTTGTACAGGATGGTCGGAGGACAATACCTGTAGATCCTTCACTTTCTGCACCTCCTATCCAGGCGCTGCATCGTAATTCTTCGCCTTCTAATGTAGCACAGCCTGTTACGCCTCCAGTTTCAACTGACAAACCAAGTATACGAGCTCCCCAAATGTCTAGTCATAATGGCAACCGGGTTGTATTGAACTCCAACGGGACAAAAGCATCAAACCAAAATAGCACAGGGGAAAGTTCTGTTAGTGACAGTAATAAGGATACAGGATTAAATTCTTCTGACATCTTTGAGAAAGCCAGAGTGGCCATTACCTCAGCAGATCGTGCTTCAGCTGCAGCCAGAGCAGCTGCACAATTGGTGAATGTTAATTTTGGAGCATTGAGGGTAGAAGAAGGGAAATCTTGAATGAGTGTATATATTTATATCGAGCTCTATTGTATTTTTGTGTCTTGTTGCAACTAGTGAGCCACTCTCTAGAGCTGCACATGTGAATGGTCTGTCTTTTCTGGTGTGAAGGTTGCTGTCTGATTTATTCTCTTTTGCATGGTTGCTCAAGGCTTATGTATTTAGTTGCAAATCTCTAGTTCATGAATATTGACTTCTTGGATTTACAGGATAAATTTGTTGTGCAGTTAATTGTAGTTGTAATTGAAAGTTCTCATAGTTTAGTATCAGCGAGCTTGCTTCTTCAGTGCAGGACAATGTAGAGAAGATCATATGTATTTCATTCTTTAAATAAGCTTCCTTAAATTTTACATAACAAACAAGCTTGGTGGAGAACTCACTTTTTAACTTTGAGGTCGTAAGTTTGAGTTCTACTATCTACTTTTGCTTGGGGTTTATGGGATTACCCTTACCTTCCCCATCTCAAATCATGTTAAATTCATATGATATTCAATTTACAAATAAGTTAAAAAATTAATACAAACATAATAAGTTCTAAAAATTCAAATAAACTATGTTTTGACAAAATACAATTAAGCTAATATAAAAATTAGGGCATGTTCTGATTTACTAAGCTGAACTGAACTGATAGGAGCTGAACTGAACTAAATTGAATATTTTATGAGTTAAGAAAATTAGGAACCGAACTTAATTAAATTGATTGGAGATGAACTGAACTGAAATTAAATTGAAGAGAACAAACACTAAGGGTCTGTTCACATTTACTTAATTTCAGTTCAGTTCAGTTCAGCTCTTAATTTCCCTCTCTCATAAAATATTCATTTCAGCTCAGTTCAGTTAAGCTCCAATCAGTTCAGTTCAGTTCAGCTCTAATCAGTTCAGTTCAGTTCAGCTCAGTTCAGTAAATGTGAACAAGCCCTAAGTTATAATTTAGATAAAATTAAATGAACCAAACATAGCGTTAGCCGTTAGTAAAGTACGGAGTGTATGAACATTAAGCAATTTAGAATTGGATTTAAAGCTCAAAATTTCATGAAAGTGAAACTGTGAGAGTTTGTAGAGTTAAGCTAATAAAAAGGACCTAAACTTTTGCATTTTTCACCTTTAAGGACCTTATGTCTTTTTTTTTTCACCTTTAAGGACCCGAGTTAAGGTTTTTGGTCACTTAACTCACCTTTAACCATGGGTTGACTTTTCAAATGTCAATGTATAGAAATATTTTTTGTATATTTTTTTTATTAAGAAAAGGAAAAAAACACATTAGTCAAAAGTAAATATTGCATTGAAGTATAATTTTAAGCTATTATAATATTAATAATTTAGCTATTTTACTTAATAGAAAAAAAATATATATAAATTACCTACAAATGTACTCCATCTCTTGCAATTTTTTTTTTGACAAACTATTATCTTATTCTGATAAGGAGCCCCTCTTGATTTATTGGTAATTAAATATATTTCTAGTTAAATAATTTGACTTATTTATTGAAGGATATATAATAAAATTTTAAAACTTCTGTAATTATATAATTACGTCGATTAATACTACCTCTGTTAATTATTATGTGCAACAAAGGAATATTTTATGTCTCACAAATAATATCTCTTTGTTGCACATAATAGTTGGTTAACGGAGGTAGTAATTAATTTAAACTCACTATTTCAATAAAGAAAGTTAGAGGAAGGGTTTTTTTTTTTAGAATGATAAAAATATATTTTAGCATAGAATTTTAAAACCAACCTAACACTTGTATCAATGTTAAAATGGAGTCTTATAAATTAAAAATCAACATTTGTACGAATACTCAACACTTAGGGCCTGTTCTCATACGTTTATTTTCAGTTTTAGCTCCTAATTTCCTTCTCTTATAAAATATTCATTTTAGTTCATTTCAGTTCAGTTTAGTTCAGTTCAATTCAGCTCAGTTCAGTTCTATTAAGCTAATTCAGCCTATGAGAACAGTCCCTTAATTAATAGCAAGTTATATATCTCCATGAAATTTTTTTGCTTTTATCCAAAGTGTATGAAGTAATAACTGTAGACACCTAAAAATGTCTCCCCAAAACCAAACCCGATGATGAACAACCTTTCACCACCATTATTGGTCGGGTTGAGTATTTAATCTTGGGGTGCTTAAATCCATATTTCCATTTCATAAACCAACCCAACTTCTAGCCCATTTCCTCAAACCATAACTTATTTTCCTCTTTTCGTGCCTTTAAACCCAAAATAATTCATTTCGTATCCTTTTTATAAAAAAGTTTAGTCTAGTTTATTTTGGTCCATTACCTGGGTTCAATGATTGAATAGTTGGATGGGGATTTAAAAGAGCTTTCCAACGACATATTATAAGCCCAAATCCGAGTTATAACGAATAAGTTATGACCAAAATATTAATTTGAGCCCAAACCGAACCTAAGCCCACATTGCCTACGACCCAATGATCATGTGGAGGGTCCAAATTATTTAATCCCATTCCTAAACCAATTAGAATTAAATAGATACTTCTATAAGTTTCTAAAAGATCCTAATTATCCTTTTTGAAAAGATAAGATTAAAGAGTTTGAAATTGAATAAAACTTTTCTTTTTGAAAGTCCTATTTCTATCCGAATTGAAAGACGTTCAAAGATAGACAGATATTATTTTCGTGCCTCATAGTTTTTATCCAAATTTTATATGTTTGGATAGCCCTTGAAATTATATTTCCAATGATATATTATAATATCAATTCCGAGCTATAACGGAAAAGATATGAATAAAATGTCAAACTCTATCCAAAACTGACACCGTCTCACTATTTCGGCCATATTTTTTATTGTACAAAATATTTTAATCTGATTTTAATTGGGTTAGAAAGTAGACTTCAATAAATCTCCAACGATATCTTATTCATTTTATTCCAATTTCTGAATCAAAAGATATGATAAAAACAAAAACCGCAAAAACTGTTGTCTATCGCAAGAGTTTTATCCGATTCGAATTCTTATCTTTTCTTGATTCTTCAATCCTCTTTTTCCTTATAAATAGAGGTCATATCTTCCCTTTTTCAATCATCAACAAGCTTGATCATCAAATAGTTCTCTTCTCCCTCTTTAGCCTAAACACTAGCCTCCCTATTCTTCCATAATACTTCCCCTAAGCACTACAAGGAGTCCATACAATACCCAAAATTTTTATACTTAAACCAAGGCGTGAAAGGTATAAATAACTGAGGGTTTGGACCAAATCAAATCTACTTTTTATATAATTTAATTTTCATTTGATTTATATTTTTATTGAAGTTACTAACAATTTATTCATGATGTGAACGCGAGGAATGTGAGTAATTAATTAATTTAATTACTTATTTTATTCTTGTTGCTAGTATCATGATTAGGTTTATTACTACCTCCGTTACATATTATTTGCAACGATTAGACATTTTTCCTCTCTACTTTATGTCAAATCATTGCAAATAATATGTAACGGAGGTAGTATTTTATTTGACTAAAACTATTATTGTTAAATTGCTTCCAATATTAATGTGTATTCTATTGTTATTATGATCACTATATTGCATGTTTAAAGGGAATATGTAATTGAAAATCACGCCTAATAAGATAATTTGGACGACAGATCCTTTTTAATTTTGTTATTAATTCAAGTGATCACAATATTTAGAATTATATGTTGCATTAATATTAAACCAATTTAACTTAATAATAGTTTGGAGCAAATTGAATATTTTGTTTGTATGTCTTTGAGATCGCAGGAATCACTTTTCACAATAAGAATCGAGTAGAGGTCAATACGGGCGAATGTGACTCCATGACTCACTTCGTACCATCATCCCCGATCCTCCTTTCGTGGTTCCGAACCATATGGAGTTAGTAATCTCATGGATTATGAATGGGGTGTAACCTTCACGGGTCAATCGTTGTTGCCTATCGTTGTCCCTTATCGTGGTTTCCTTTTTATGATCCGTGAACGGTTTACAAGTTCCTTAAAAACTTGTTGGCGGCTCCCTACTTTGCTTTGTCCCTAATCGTTGTCCCTAATCGTAATGTCAATTTTCACTTCCTATGAGTGTCAAGCATATTCACAACATGATTTAACGTAAGCGTACTTCGAACAACGCCCATAATAACAAAAGAACTCTCGACAATTATTTCGTATCTTTTTTAATTCAAAAAATACCGACCCCTTTAGTTTATTCATCCAAGAAATCGATGTACTATAAAACTTAAATGGTTAACTCCTTATAACTAAAAATTATAGAAGTTTACCTTTTGTTCTTTCTTATAATTATTTTTTAAACTAAAGAACTCACTAATCTAACTAGTGTAGTTAACTTTTGACCAATGATGAGGTCATTAAAGGTGAAAAAAAATAAGAGGTCCTTACCAAAAACTTTAAGTCCTTCATGTAAACTCAGAGTTTGTATCGACTTAAACTAGTTTTTTAAACTTTTTGAGGGAACTTTTTGTACCTTACAAGCATGCTTATGTTCTAAATTAGTTAGTTTAACTCTACTAAGTTTAGATAGGTTAGATAAGATAGATGGTTAAGATAATTAGGGAGCATAAGTTAAAATAATTTTTTGTCAGGAAGGTTACTCATTGCTAATAATAAAATTCATATTATTTCAAGGCTCTATTCTCTCCCACTAATCTTCAAAAATTTAGATTCAAAAAATTATGATAAATATATTCAAATGTAATAAGTTTAGGATAAGTCCATATAACATAGATCCAATAGGATAAGAGATTAAGAGAATAAGGAAAATTCAGGTAAAATAACCTTTATATTAGTAAGATATGGTCCTAAGCAATGACTTGGTGGGAAAGTGATCACATCTTTCATCAATAGAAATGAATACGAAAACACCTACTAAACTCCACTTGAATAGTTCTCTTTTTGAATCAGTCAACAAATGTATATATTTGGGCCAGATAATTGTGAAAGTGACAAAACCTTACACTATAAAATTATACATTTTATTACAAAACCAAGCAACGATAAGTCGATAATTTAGGCCTTAGGATTTTTATTTTTATTTTTTTTTTTTATTTTTTTTTTTGAGGAGAGGCCTTAGGATTTATATACTATTTTTTTTTGGCTTCCATGTAATCTGAATATCTGATATTTTCTTAATTTTAATACTTTCTCCGCATTTAAATAATTAAATAAATGAAATATTTTTTACTTTTTGCACTATTTATCTAATTTACTTTGACTAATGTTTTTCATTTAGATCTAAGAATAAATATAGTGGTGTAAGTACTTGTTAGAATTGTCCCAAATT